GAAAACCTGTTCCAGTCACCTCAAAAGTCTCATCAAGTCCGAGGTCATCTCACTCTGCAGCTTTGCCCACTTGCTCACTATTCATGAAAAAATGTGTCTAAAATTATATTTTATCTGAGTAACTCATGCTGTAACAACTACTGGGAGTGGTGAGGGACTCCGTGACTCATTCAAGCTGAACATGGACAGGAAAACCATATAAAAAACAGAGTCTGTCCCACAGAGAAACAGAAGCTATGGTGGGACTTGTGTAATCGTTTGACATGGTCTGTTAAGAGAACAGATACAAATTATGAACAGATACTGATGATGTTTAAACTGGTTTATTATCATGACATATTTTTTTAATTATATTTTTGGAAAATGTGCAAAGAGTCTAAGAGGGAAGATAAAGCTTATTATGCCAAAAAGTTATAAAAATAGCTCATTCTGATTTTTGCCCATCTCATAATCTTCTGAGGCCTGCTTCAAATTGAAGGCTCCTAAAAACAATATTTTGTTCTTACTATTTCTAGCGAGACTTTTACAGAAATCATCCTAAAAAGCCTTCATTCAGCCATTTGTCTAGCTAAATTTGTAATGTAGAAACAATCTGCTTTGGGAGCCAATTCATCCCTGGAGGAAGTGGGTATTGTAGTCAGTCAATGAGATTGCCCCTACTTACACCACAGATAAATGTGTTGCTTTGTCACAACGTTTCTGCTTTGCAATAATTTCACATTCCAAATTATAAACCTCTGAAAATTGTAGATTATGAATGTGCTGACACAACTTCAACTGTTATAGTAAATGGCATTGCTCTAATAATGAAATAAAAAATCCTACTTAATCCCATTCTTTCCCTAAAGTGGTGTTTTGCATTAGCTATGGATGAAAAGACAAACAAGTACATGTATATTCAATAATAATGTCAGCTGGGTCAGAGAAGAATAGAAAATAAAATTAATTCATAACAGCTCCAGAGATAGCTTTCTGATACAGGCAGTTTTCTCTTTGATTTACCCTCATTGAGAGTATTCATTGTAATTTTAACATAGCCACCAAATTAGCCTTTATTAATAGCTGTCCTGATCTTAATAACAAATATACTATGTAATCTCCAGCCTGGGTGTTTCTGAGGTGAACAATTATTTAGAGCAGAATAGATCATATGGTATTTACAGGGATCTCTCACTCAAGAGGGCCTAATTTCATGTTCAGACCATCCAGACAGTGTCTTGGAGAACTGTAGATACAGAGCTCTTCTGTCTCAGGGCTTTGAGGCTGAAATGGGTTACCTGTCTAGATATCATAGTGGAATAGTCATGCTGGATTAAGGTTGCTGGCAATCTTAAAAACCCCTTATTGGGCTTTGAGTGCAATCAGATGCTACTTGCTTATAAATGAGAGTTAATAGAAACATTAAACACTACAAGCTACTGTGACCCATGTCTTCAGAATATTAAGCACACTTTAAAATTGTGGAAGACCATCTAGGCCTCTGTGTTCTGTAAAATATTGCCTCTTCTAACCATTATTCTCTGGGAGCAAGCTATTTGATATCTTCAGCATTCAACTTTCATTTGCACATACTGTGTATTTTTAATTTATTCTCTCAGTTCTCTGGCTACCATATATTTACTGTTGATAAAATACTCAGTTTCTCTTTAATTATTCCATCTGCCAGGAGAGTGTGATGCATTTTAGAATCTGGGTGGTTTAGTTGTTTAACCTTTGAGTTTTGGAACTGAATGGAATGACATATTCTTCATTTAGCAGAACAGGCTAAGAAGAATTATATACTCCAAGTGATAAGCTTGGAACTGCTAAAGAAATACCAAAATCCAATTTTTTTCCTCTCTCTAGTCATCTAAACATCCATTAGTCTCTTGAAGGGAACTCATAAATCCTGAAAATTTAGTTTATCTGAAACCAACTCTAACAGTTGTCCTTCCTACTAATCATGTTTTATATCAATTTTATATTTTTCAATATTCAATAAACATGTCTTGTGCTTACTGTACTTGTTAGAAAGTGTCTGCAGTAGAGGCTGTATGAGGGCAGTTATTAATCAGCCATTTCGGATGGCTGTAGGGTTAGTTTAGTAAGTGTATCTATTTATCTTTTTTATGTTTTCTTCTTTGTTCTTTCCATTTATCCAATATGGAATTTCTTTCGTCCTTTTTGGTTTATTTCTACCAGGGTATGTCAAAAAGGAATTTAACATGTAACAAATGAAAAAAAAAAACAAAAACACAACAACAACAACAACAAAAACCCAACCACCCAATAGCTGAAAATAAAAAACCACACACCACCCTTTGGGTTTCATCCATGAAGAGATCCTCTTAGATCTGCATTAATATATAACAATAGAGTGCATTATCTAGCAATGCTGCTTTAAAGCAGTGGATAATTTACACATTAAAGTGAGATGTAGGTTTAAAAGTAGGAGTGTAGAATTGAATTAGAGTTAAGAGTCAGAATGATATAGTCCTGTATGAAAATGATGTCGTTTTCCTGGGGGTATTGTCCTTCTGGTATAATGAGACTTGCAGATAACAATCAGGGACTATGGATAGATCGAGGTACAGTGATACATTGAGAATGGCACAGCAAGTATTGGCTCTGGGGAAACAAATGGACGTGTCTGCTAGATAAACAGCATTAAAAGTTTCTGCTCATCAGCAAAGTCCAGGCCTCTAAAGATTAATAATTCCTGAAAAACAGTGTATTGGGTTTGCATGGCAAGGTTTTGGTAGCAGGGGGGCTTCAGGGGTGGCTTCCGTGAGAAGCTGCCAGAAGCTTCCCCCGTGTCTGACAGAGCCAATGCCAGATCCAAAACACCCACAACTGGCAAAAGCCAAGCCCATGGTAGCACATCTGAGATAACAGATTTGAAAAAAGGGAAAAAAACACTGTGCAACAGCAGCTGGAAGAGACGAGTGTCAATATGTGAAAGAAAAAGCTCTGCAAGCACCCAGGTCAGTGCAGAAGGAGGGGCAGGAGGTGCTCCAGGAGCCGGAGCAGAGATTCCCCTGCAGCCCGTGGGGCAGCCCGTGGTGGGGCAGCTGTGCCCCTGCAGCACATGGGGGTCCACAGGGGAGCAGATCCACCTGCAAAGTGGGATGAGCTGACCATAACTCCCATTCCTCATCCCCCTGCACCAAGGGGGAGGAGAAGGCAGAGAAAATTGGCAGTGAAGTTGAGCCCAGGAAGAAGGTGTTTCATGATTTGGTTTTATTTCTGCTTGTCCTACACTGATTTCATTGCCAGTCTTTCTAATTGATTTCCCCAAATCGAGTCTGGTTTGCCTGTGATGGTAATTGCTGAGTGATCTCTCCCTGTCTGTATCTTGACCCACAAGCCTTTTGTTATGTTTTCTCTCCCCTGTCCGGACAAGGAGGTGAGAGATAGAGCAGCTTTGGTGGGCACCTGGCGTCCAGCCAAGGTCAACCCACCACAAATCCTGGCTTTTAGAAGATTTTTTTATCAGTGCTACGGTCGTACTTTTATGGGTTCACGTATTACAGGGAGGCAGTGGCCATTTATCAGGATGTTAATGACTGGTAGTTATGTGTCCAGATACTTTGTAACCACCGGGCTGCCCGACAACAGAGGTCACTGGAAGACAGATTACTTACAAACTGGTTTAGAGATCTCCTTCACTTTCTTTTTTTAAGATCACCATCAGGGCTTCAACTACTCTGATATTTCCACATCGGGATTATTGCCTCCTCTTTAAAATTCCTTGTGTCAGGAGGCTTCCGTGATTTACTCGTAGTCCTCAAACAAAAAAACTTCCTAACAGAGCATCCATTGATTGCTACAGTTATTTAAAGGCTAACAATAAAAAATCATAGACTTCAGTCTCCATCAAGGCAGAAAGGAAACAATAATTGCAATTTGCAAGCCTCCTGCCGTGGGTTAAAGTAGCTCAGGATGGCAGAAAGGGAGCTCCACAATTTTAGTGGCTGTCACAGCTGGGTGAGATGTGCTGATTCATTCACACGTCATTCTGTGATAAGACAATTTGTCAAGGTGAAAAGATGGGTGTGAGGTAGAAGTGTGCCCAAGGAATATCAGCTCTGAGGAGGACCACTAGATAAAAGCATGAATATGTGGGAAGCTGTACAGGAGTGTATTTGGTGACTGCTAGTCATGTCTCTTCAGGTTGACAGGCCTCAAAAGAAAAGACCTTTTCTGTCTCTGTAACAGCAAATAATATGGTTTCTTACCCTGTGTATTTTTCTATACCAAAGTGTTGGATTAAAAAAAAAAAAAGACAAGTGTAATGGGTGGTAATGTGGTAATGTACATTATTCGACTCTTTCTTCTGCCAAAGAAAGAGCTATAGGGGCAGCCACATTTTTTAGGAATATCCTTCCCCTTTAACCAAGGGCAGGGAGCAGTCCTGTGAGATTTCTCTGTATTATAAAATAACTAAGTAAAAATGGGGATATGAACTGTCAGATTCCTAGCTTAGAAAATGTTTGTCTTTGGATACTAACAACTGTGAGGTCCCATCAAACCTCAGCCAAGCACCTCCTCCTCCTGCTGTTCTCCATTCTGCATTCCCAGTTTGGTAAGGTGGGGATTGGTACCACTCTCAAAGAAAACTGGTGGTGCCCTAAATCGAGAATGAAACATGGATGACTTTTTCTCAGTTTTTAGCAGCCCTAGAGCTGATTTTCCCTCTGGATTTAGAAATACACATAGGTATATATGGACTAATCACCGTGAGACAATGTGCAAATAGAAGAGGACATGAAAGAGGAGCTGACTGCCAAACTTCATGATGGATTAGTCTGAAAGTCATTTGCTCTTCCCTAGCACCACACATAAGGACTAATACATGCATACATGGAGTATTCATCAGTTTACTTACCACAGGTCTGATTTTACTTGTGTTGAATTGAAAGAGAACTTTTCCTCTGACTTTGTTGAGTTGTAGATTTAGCCCATTGTACATCAAGTTAATTCATTAAATGTAATTCTGTGTTGTCTCTCCTCTTTTTCAGAATGCTTGAGGATGATCTGAAACTCAGCAGTGATGAAGATGACAATGAACAGGTAAATACATCTGATATAAAAGCACAGACCTTATAATAGGACAGTTATTTCATTGGTTGGATCTGATTGTGTGTTGGTTTACTATATTTGCATCAAAAGCATTTTGGGGTGCTGCAGAACCCATTATCTAAAATCGTGTTTGCTTCCTTCCCCTGGGAGGAAGCTTATTCTCAAATAGGAATGCATTTGGGCAGTTTTGTTTGTAAAGTTTGTGAAAATGAAACCAAAACATGTCTTACTAACCTTGGAATTAGAGACCACACGTGGCATCACCCATGTCAGCCAATGTGTTCTGAATTTCTGTCCTCCATGGTACCAAGTTAACCAGGGAACAGCCTCCACTTGCTTTGCACTCAATTTCTGAATTGACAAGCTTTCTGGAAGTGGGTGTAAAATGACTCCATCAGACCACAAAGACAACTACAGAATTGGCTTGCACTTTGCAATTCGTTTATACAGTTGCACACAAGAAGATTGGGTCCATAAGTTTTTGTTCCAGTCAGTGAGTAAAGGGTTGGGAGTCCACAGCCAGTAGTCCAGTGATTCCCATTTGTGAGAGCAAAAAATCCTCAGCATGTAGCTGTAAATCAATACTGAAAGTCTTTCAACCTACTTGGGATGTTAATGAAGAATCATTTTCAGAAAACTGGCTCATGTCATTCTCTATGCTTCCCACTTTATAAATATTTATGGATAATACTGGGAAAGAATGCTGTTTAAATTCATATTCTCAAAATTCTTATCAGAAGAAAAATGAAACTTTGGGTTAAATTCATCCTTCATTTGACTTTATATATGCAATAGCCTCAAATGTTTAAATTTCTGCAATAGAGAGGAAAGTAATGCTATAATTCAGCATAGGATCATCTGTTCAGTCTGGGAAATGTTAACAATAAGTGAGTCTTTCTTTCTTATTTATTTTTAAACCACCTAAATGTTCTCCTTCACCCTACCTAATCCATCCTTGAGGGTCATGCCAGGAAAGATTTACCTTCTGGTGAAAACTGACCCCTTATTCATCCAAGTCAGTATTTTTTAGCACTGAGTTAGACTTGCACTCTCATCTGAAACCAAAGGGTCAAAATCCTGTACTTGTGCAACATGCTGTTGTGCAAACCTGCTGGCTTATGGCACCTTCAGGTTTCCTGATCTACTGGAAATTTGCCCAAATAGTCCTGCAAAATGACACTGTGATACTGAGATGCCTAAAATACAGAAATAGAAATATATTATCAGGTAGCAGTTACTGTTGTTTTCCTCAGCTGCTCCTCATCAGACTTGTGCTCCAGGCCCTTCCCAGCTCCATTGCCATTCTGGCAGGGAGAGAAAAGATTAAAACTCTCAGCTCAAAACCATTCTAACAGTTTATGCAGCGTTTCTATAAGGAAATGGAATCATTGTCTTTACAGTCTTTATGATTTCTTTCTGCTATAAGCTGGCAGCCAATGTGAAACATGAGCTAGCATTTACTCATTTTTGTTAATAAAAACAGTAGGTAAAAATCAAGTTTGTTCCCTTGATTTCTACTCTTGTTTCAAGGAAATTGAAGTTCTTTGAGAGCAGTGGTCAGTAGGGAACTCTAGGATTTGTCCTTTGAGAATTGCCAGGGACCCTTCATATTTTACATGGCAGGGCAGTAGTGACACTGATCCATAGATGCACTTTGATCTCAACTTTTAGTGAAGGTCTACAGTATGTGGAGAGAGTTTGATCTATCAGCCTGTCTTCTGAGACTACCAGTAGTCCATTTGTCATGGTGGAAGATTGTTAGGAGCTTGGCTGCAAGAAACAAAGCTCTTCTGTCTTCCTCCCTCACTCATATGAACAAGCACCCTTATTTATGAACTGTACTGCAGTTCTTTAGGGGTCCGTGGGCCTCACACTCTTTCAGGTGTTAAACATCTTCCTTTTCTCCCCACTTCTGAGGAGAAACACAACACACATGATAGCTCCAGTCAGTGATGTAACTAAGAATTTTGGCATTCACCTTTCAAACCTAATTTAGAATAACTGGAAATTGCTCCTAAAAGTTATAAACGTGATTTGGAGAACCCTCCTTAGTATAAGTGTTAGGTCTCTTTTGGTTGAGGCACACATGATGATGGCCTAGCAACATATCACCAAGAAAAAGATTCCTGAAAGAAGGCTGTACACTTTAATTTCATCCCAGAGGGCTTAAGAGGCTTCAGCAAGTAAGAGCTGACTGGAAAACCAACCTACTAGTGCCAAACTGCTGCAAATTGCATAGGAGCCTTGTGGTTTTACTTTCCTGTTAGCCTTCTGGCAGCTGTGGGCCTGATGCAGAAGTTGTCAAGTGAATTTCTTTGGGCTGTGACATGCAGGAGGTCCAGTGAGATGTTCATTGCAGGTCCCTTCAGCCTTCAGGTCTGTAAAGCTTTGGACCATATCGATCGTTGCAGATAGAGCATGAGGCAAGTTACAGTCACTCCACCCCAGCTGCAAACTCCTGTTACCACTTTTTGGGCATTGCAAGGAGAGACTCATTTGCCACCTGCATCTAACACATGTAAACACAACCCACAGTGTCTTCAGTGCAGACACTCTGGAGGTGGCCATATGACACATGCTTTGTCCCATAGACAAAATGCTGGTTCTTATGTCTCATTGTGGATGATTTGGGATTAAAGATTAGAGACACACAGAAAACGATGGGTTAGATCTGGAATCAATTTTCATTTACAGCTGAGAAGCAGTTATTGATGCTGTGCTCACAGTTCAATAAAAGATCTAAAGATACAGACCTTGTGTTTCTCTTTCAATATAAGCGGCATAATCAGTGTCAAATGTTTTCACAAAGAAAATTGTATTGACAGTTTTATTAAAATTGCTGTCTTTAAAGTTTTAAGTTATCCACAATTTGACCTACTTGAATGGTTTTTAATATGCACACTGACCAACTCAATAGATTTTTATGTCACGTATTTATACCAGGTACACATCTGTTTAATGTATTATTTGAGAGATACTGTTACATTTAAGCATTGCCTGGTTTGCAAACTCTTGTGGTATTGTCACTGAGAGGAAGGTTGGAACATACATCGGCGTTGCATTCAGGAGTGCTGTTGCAGAGTATGCTCAGATTGGCTACAAAAGATGCAGTCCAGGCAGATGACAGGCATGCTATTATTAAAACCATTAGATGACAAGGCATTTCAGAGATGCTAATGTTAACACTCTTCTCTGAGGAAGGACAGAGCTTTTAGATGGCTTCATTACTCTGTTAAAAAATACATCAGAAATTAGGAAGAGTAGTGAAGGTTTTTAATTAGTAGCTCAGTTCAGCTAAAAGAGTTTAGATAAAACACAGGTTAGTATTTTTGTTCTCTAAAGCACCTCTGTATAATTCAAATTAGCTTTGAGCTCAAAGGCATCCAAATGAATTGTGCCTGGATACAGTATTTTAAGTAGCTGTAGTGTACCCAATTTTCTTTAACCAGCTCCTCTTTGTTCTTCTGCCTAAGGAATAGTCCTGTTAACCTTTTAAATGTGTACTTAATTTAAAGCACATTGCTAGCGTTCTGTGTGTTTTTGAACCAAAAAAACTTTGATACTAGTTACAGAACTGCTCCATTTTCAGTATTTTATGTGTATAGTAGTTTTGGCAAAACAAATCAATAAGATGTTTTTTTCTTTTCTATTTTATTTTTTTCTTCCTTCCCTTAGTAATTACCACTTTATTGCCACTTCTTTAATAACCCTACAAACAGAAGACATGCATGTAATTCATGGCCCTGCTCTATCATTTGTATTTTACACAAAGATAATTCTTTTTTGCTAGGTTAGTATTAGGTAATTCCATTCAAAATGTTTGACCTCGTATCTGAGTCTGAAAAGGTGATCAGCCATAGGCTGAGCTTTGAATTCTTAAAATGCCTGCTGAGCTTTCAAAGCCTTTATTCAGGTTAATTTTTTTAAAAGTTTATGAAGTTCTAAGGCATAATATGCCTTCGTCATATCACGTAAACACTTTTTGAAGTGCGACAGTGACCACTTTCCTTGTAACAATAGATATCCTTTCCTGTTGTATTTTTTCCCATTTTTTAGCTGCATCCTGAACGAGCTGTTTACCTCCCCAAGGTTTCTCTGCATTTCCATTTACTTTGTTATCAGCAGAAAGGCTGAAGAACAGCTCTTCAGTAATGACATCAATACTGCACACACAGTGAGAGAGGTCATCTTGTCAAAGCTATAGAAAAATCAGATGGATTAGGATGAAACTAGGTGCAAAATAACTTTGATAGAGTCTTTTAATGTAAACAGTTTATCTGTCATTGGGTTCCATTGAAATCCCAGAGAGGTGCAGCATCAGTTGTAGCCACAGCAGCATGTGTTTTGATAAAGAACACACATTCCAGTGTTTAAGATCTGCAGTCACGTTTTGTAATTGTAGGGAAATGTTTTCTTTAAGCCATTAATGAAAACAAAAACTATTAGGATAATACAGTTGTTCTCCAACCTTGTCAGTCTTTAACCATGAAAAATCCTTTCATGCATATATATCCCTCCTTGCCACCTCAGTCCATTTTAATTGGTATTCAAATTATTTTTTATTTGAACACTAGTTGAACAACACTAATTGAAACGACAATGTATCATCAACTGTGTAAGTTAATACTCCAGCTTCTGTTAGGCAAATCTTTGGAAGTAAGAGATTTGATGACTGACATGTCTAAGGTTATAATTCACACGGTAATGATGTAGGTTCATATCATTTGTTTATTATCAGCAGAAGCTTTCAGTAACCACTCTGAGATCTGGGCTGAGCTTTCTGCAAAAAGCACTGCACGCCACTAAAATACACGGTGTTATCAAAAGCTTTTAACTTGTTCAAATTCACAGAATCACATGTGATTTTTTTTCCACACATGTTGTTATTGTGGAGGTCATCCATCAGTGAGGAAGGGGATTAATACAGCCCTCAGGAAAAAATGGTTGCTGTAGAGTGCACAGTACTACAGATCAACAAGAAGGAGTTTGCC